GTACTTTTAATGCAAAATAATTGATAGACTTTATGTTCTATAAAAGTATGTTTGAAGTTTTTTTCGATTCAATATATATTGCGATATTGTACGAAAACTGTCATAGTAGTAAGTTGTATTTATCTCAGTCACTGTAACATCCAACATCACTTCAGTTTGCAACACTGCTATCTAGCAGTTGGAGGTTTAAAGATAAAAATCTATACAGTGTTTTTGAGAACTGACATTTTCACACACCCCAGTTTGGTAGTGCTGTATTTATACAGTCCCTGACTGACTGGTTAGATAATCTCCACTGAATGTTACCCATTCATAAGGTCATGCAGAGCCATTGGCTGCATTTCTGTCCAACCGTCAAGCCAATTTGAAGCAAATCTTTAAAGTGTGGCCAGAAATAAAATGCATATTAGTGCGTTTCAATTGAGACATATAAGAAGACACTTTTAAAGACAAAAACATTTAGCAGAAAGATTAAACTAGTCCTCTTGAACTGATGTTGTTAGATTGTGTTGTTTGGTCTCTAGTCTAGCTAATGCTAGCCATATTTCAAGATGGAGAGCAATGTCCAGCACACGGCAGCAATAGCAGTTTTACATTGCTGGAAAACTGTGGTAGAACTGTTTTTACCTTTTTAAAACCTGACAGCATCCAAATCTTTGTTAGCCTTTCTTATTAATAAATCAAAATGTCCTCTTCTGTGCAGCTCTTTAAAATTCAGCCCATGATAATATGCAGAAATATACTTGGATGGAAACAAGTTATTGTTACAAAGTTATGTTCATCTGTCTGTCAGCTTGTCCGTACTGCTGTCATACTGTACCAAACATGTTTTTGTAGAAATAACACCTGGAGCTCTCAAAGATGTGACACAGGTGGAGCCAGAGCAAAAACATCCAGCTGTCTCAATAATCTACATGATTGTTAGACATGTGGATAAAAATGGTTGTTGCTAGGTGACTAGACTAGTTTGCATGTAAACAGGTCATATAGTGGACATGCACACTTGGGAACAGTGACATGATCTGCACACTTGTTTCCATGGCAACAGTCACGTGGAAGCCCAATCTCCAGTGCACAGATGATATGAATCTATGATTGCACCTGGTAGTTGATCATCGGCAAACTCTAGATCTCTCTGCCGCTGCAGTCAAACTTCACTGTGTCTTATGTTGTATTGAATCCCTCACGCAATGCCCCTCAGTGTGAAGATGATTGGTGGACTCCTGGGGGTGAATCTCATTCTAAACCCCCCCAAATCAGTGCATGTTTGTTCATAGTTCTTCCTGTAGTTGTGAGGCATCACAGTCATGCTGTGTTGCAGCAGAAAGGCTGAAACTACATGGGGAGGGACAATGATAAACTCCTCTGTGCCTTTCCCCTTTATGTGGAGTTCCAACATAAAAACTAAATAATGAATGTTTTTTGATATGTTGGTAGTTATAGTGTATGATCATTGGTGTATAGATAATTTAATTTTAGATTAATTCAATTCAATTCAATTTTATTTGTATAGAGCCAATTCATAACAGAAGTTATCTCAGGACACTTTTCAAATAGAGCAGGTCTAGACTGAACTCCTTATAACATTACAGATTACAGTCGTTGTGTTGGAATGAATTTGTGATCAACCACTAGAGGGCACAGACACGCACTATCCCTCCTTAGAAACCTGTCCCCCAATAGAACTGCCTGGTAACATGCTCAGTATTTGATCCTCTTAGTTTGAAGTATTCCAGCTGGTTTCTTCTATACTTAATGTGGTTGATTATAGGATGCCAATTTAAGGTCTTGGAAAAATCCAACCCAGCAAAATCAAGATCACCTGCCTTAATCTAACTGAAGCTCTGTTGGAATCTCCCTCTTCATAAAGAGGGATTAGATTATATTTTTCTTATCTATTTGTGTAATCTGAATACAGCAGATTAAGGAGATTAGGATGGCTACGGCTACCTGTATGTCTGTGTGACGAGCTGTGTCCCTGTTTTGTCCTGCTTCGCTGGCACACTTTTTTGTCCTGCAAACACACATACAGACGGAGTAATCCTGTACTAATCTGTCTCTGAGTAGGTGGTGTTTAATTTGGCCAGCGCGCCGCAGCCACACAGTAAGCTCGCCGTTTTCTCCCTCCACTGGCTCTGTTTACGGAGGATGAGTCTGTGTTAATGAAGGAGCTTAGTAAAGACAGCACTTCTTAATGTAATTAAGCCTTAATGTTGGCCTGAGTTGTTACTCTGTGATCTGTTGATAATTATAATTTGAGTTGATTTCAGCCTGTTAGACTGTAGACCAAAAATCTACTAGGCACACATGCATACAGGATGGCAATGTGGCAAAACTGTGAATTATTCATATGATTGGTTTGATGTGCACCTCCATATGAAGGAGCTTATTCAGGAAGTAAAATTTTCTTTTTGCAATAATTTGGCACATCTCATCAACACAGCTATTTTAGAGAGTCACAAAGCCCCCACTCCTCCTACACCCCTCCCCAACTCCAGCCCCTTAGCAGTTTTCCCTGATTGGTAACTGATGTTCGGATGAAATATACAGCAAAAAGTCCTACTGAGTGCTCATGAGACAAATAAGATGGCTGACATAATTGTGATACTAATACTGATGTATAAAGCAGTTCCCATACACTGCATAACAAACAGACTGCGAACATATTCCAGCATTTTAATAGAACTCATTCTTTTGAATAATTGAAACTTTTGAAACTAAGCAGTATGTTGTCATGTGTTATGGAGGTCATCTTACTGTGTACTGAAGGAGATTCTCATGTCCTTTTTGTCTGCTTTGTCTGTGTAACACTGTGATGTGCATGCTAACAGTGTTGTTTCTCTCTCAGTCTGGGCTCAGCAGCTCTGCATGACTGCCTGGCAGACTCCAGGTACACACCATCATCACCAGCAGCACTCGCACAGACCAGTACACGGTTGAAGTGACGTGTTGTCCCGGCAGCAGCTAGTAAACACGTTTTAAATGAATTTTTGCTGAAGTGAACACATCAGCTGAATGTCGAAACTGCTGTTGACTTCAACAGACAATCTGCTTTCCATGCTTGCAATGGAATTTGCATTGTTTGATTACCATTGTTTTTTTCACCTACAATTCAGTGTGTAGAATGGACAGAAAGGAAAAAAAAAACTTAAATGAAACAAATTTCAGGTCAAATTTACTAGATTAATGAAGTTCATGTTAGTTGTATAAATATAAATGTGCTTTTAGGATCAATTTATATTGATCATGCTGTAACAACAAAAAGAAACCGACATGGAGCCAGTACCTGTCACACAGGCCTTTCTGACGGGAAACTGAAGCCTTTATATCTGGTTTAGTCTGGTGGCTTTGGAGTAAGCGTAGATGGATATTATTGCTTCAGCTTCCTGTCAGAAAGGGCTGTGTGACGGCAAGGTAAAGCAGTGAAAATGTTCTAAATATAGCGTACACTGATAATGATTTTCTTTTTTTTATGTGGCTAAAAGACTTTGTTGTTGCTGCCCCTGCCCACAGCAGTGCATTGCTTAGCTTCTGTGCTGGTACTCTTGTACAGTTATTCTACATTTATTTAATTCTTTTTCTGTTTACCTGATGTGTGCAATCCCATCTGAGGCATTCATTTATGTAACATGTTCTCACCTCCCAGTTTCCCTCAGATTTCTGCACCCACCAGTATTTTCCACACACTGAATTAATGATCAGAGCACTCTGTTCTGCTAATACTGGTGTTGAGATGGTAAATATGCATCAGATCTGATTATTTATCTGGCTAAACAGAGACTCCTGCTGTGTTTCAGTGATGAATCCATAGCTCTAGTGTCCATAGTGTGATCTGGTAAACTGCCGGTTGTTGTAATGAAACTGTAATGAGACTAGATTGTACAAAGTCAAACATACACACTGAGGAAGTGTCCTGGCTCGTGCTTGTCCTTTAGTGTGGTGGCGTCTGTCGTTTGCCACCGCAGGCTCTGATCACACTGACACAGACCAGCATATTCTGTTTGGTGGCTGCCAGTAGGTGGCAGTATATTTACAGAAGTCACTACCAGCCTCAGAGCCTTGTTGACCAGGCCTGAGCAGACTTATTTGAGTTCAGTAGAATTTGCATTTTAAATGTAAATTGCAGTGCAGATTTTGAATTAAACTGAAACAGATACACAGTGTACACACAGAACGGATGGTCTGAATTTACAGCTGAGTAATAAAGATTAATGTAAAGTTGGATTTAGAGTAGAATTTGTTTTTAGAGATGCACACGACATAAGAAATGATTCTGTCCATTGAAACTTGATCTGTGTCATACAAATATGTCAACTGAGACTGACATATTGGAAAGTGAGATTACAACTCATTGGCTCCCACCTTGAAAACATCAGATTCCATATAACAGCACAACTCCTGCAGCTTGCAGTGCATTACCAACACAGGGACTGCACTTCTGCACGGAAAACCTCTTTGACATCATATGAAAGTCCACTGGTTATATTGAATTATTCAGAGAGAGAGAGTGAGTGAAAGAGACTCTAATTGCTTTGTCTCTGTTATTGCACTCCTTAATGCACACTCAGCTCATCATACACACACACTGACTGGCCATCATTACCACACAATCCCATGATGCATCTGTCTCAGCCTAGAACAGTCAGTAGGGCGTATTTACCAGATGAGAGCGAATGTCTGAGACGTGTGCGTTCTATGTTCTGTGTTTGGATGTTGTGGTGGTCAAGTCCTGACCCAGACTGACTGTTTTGTGTGTGTGTGTGTGTGTGTGTGTGTGTGTGTGTGTGTGTGTGTGTGTTCTTATGTTTTCTTTGGTATGTATTTTATTCTTTGTGAGAGGATGAAGGAGTGTTTGTAGCTTTATGTTGCGACCCTGCTGCAGCGTGTACCACACTGTGTTAATGGGCTGAATGAGCATTCTGTGTGTAGGCAGTGTGTGGACACCATGTTGAATGTTGCACCTGCCACCCGCACACTAAGAGGTCGACGTTTTCTTGCAGTGGACAAAAACAAGCCCCGGGAGGCGCTGGGGAGACCCACAAGCACCAACAGCAACTCACAGGGAGCAGCGCCCGCAGGAGGAAACAACCAGAACCAGCAGCAGCCTCCACCGGACCTGGTACGTCTTCTTCTTTTTAAAGTTTTGAGCTTTAAGAGGCAAACTCAATTTAAGAAACTACGCCATTACAGAGCAGAATCTGATTGATGAAAGAAGTATAAGGTGTGTTTTCTGAGAGGAAGATCCTCATTCCCCTTATCTCTTTCGGAGTTTCTCTTGGTGGTGCCAGAGAAGCTATATGCTAACTAGTTCTAAAGTTTCACAGACATTTTTGGACTGGAGACAAGTTCAATCAATCAATCAATCAATCAATCAATCAATCAACGAGCCACAGAGAGCAGCAAAAAGTACATTTATTTATAATGGAATAGAGACATTGTTTGGTATATTTGCATTTCTTGGCTACATATTTTAAAGATCATGAAGAGTATTTGGGTTCATCTTTCGACATTTACTTCAGTTTTTTTTTTAAATCATTTGAGTTTTTTATTAACATATTGAACTTTAGTGGTTATGTTAGTACTTCAGTGTCTTTATTGAAGATGTATTGCGGTTGTTTTATTGCTAGGTACCGGACGTGGTGAATGCAAATGCACCAGTTCTCCCAGCACCTGCCACTGATGCCACCACCACTGGGTCAGGCACCACTGGAACCTCTGGTCTTGGGTTCAAAGCAAGAACGGGGTCACGATCCAGCCCCAAAACAGCATCCCGCCTCCAAAATGCACCCAAGCCTGGCGCAGCGGTGGCGGTTGTGGCAGACGGTACGGTCCCGACTAAACAGAACCAGAGCAAAGAGCAGGCAGAGAAGAAGAACCAGACCATCAACCAGCTGAGGAAGCTGCTCTTCCAGGGGAATAAGAGAGTGGAGGCTCTGGCTACAGTCATCCAACACCTCTTCTCTGAGGTACTTCACTTTGTTTCCATGTTTGCCAAACAGTGAGAGAATACTCACACCACCTGCTGTGGAGGGAAAGCTTCCATCCATTATTTACAGCTTTTTAAACTGCATTACAAAACATGAGGGGGAACAAATGCTTTATTAAATATACTAAAAGGTAGACACTGTATTAGGGTTGTAAGAAAACATCAGTACACTTGAGTATCGCAATACTTTGTTTTGTGATAGTGTATCGATTCTCAAAAGCACTATTGAGTTTTTTACTCAGATTGTATGCATAAGCTGGCGTCTTTATACTATGACAGTTATCCTAAAATTAGATTTTAAAAAGAATTGCAACAGCCTTCCTTACAGTATCACAATATATGCAATATATTGAATCGTAACCCTTGTATCATGATACATATCATATCATAAGATTCTTCCTCAGTACACTATATAGCTGTTTGAGAAGAATCCATCCAGTCCTGCTGTTGGTGGTGATGTTTTTTATTTGAGCTTGAAGAACGCGGTTTTCAGGAATGTTTGCTGCAAGAAAGTCCATGCAAGAATGTTCCTGTTCCCAGTTCCCAGAACAGATATAAATTGCGGCCACTAGATTGGTGGCAATGAGAGTGAACTGTCAGGATGTCAGGTAAAGACAGCAGTGCTACAGTGACTTTATGTGAACACCAGATTCCACATTTAAGCAAAATCAGTGTTTGGATGATGCTTTGGAACTTAGCTGTGACCTGTGCTGACTTTCAAAGTGCCAAAAACCAACTGGGAAGAAATTTGGGGATTTGACTGGGATAAATGTTTGTACAACTGTAATGAGGGAATTATAAGTTAAGACTTGTATAGGTTCACTATGACACACCATCATCTGAAAACCAGAATGCCATATTCAATATTCAGCCATATTTCTAAATTGAGTTTTCCCTGAGTAGACCTTGCTCTGCTGTTAATGAGAATGTTTTGAATGCAGCCTGTCTTGTAACCCCACAAATAATACTACTGTTTGTGGTAAATGGGGTGGGTCTACAGTGTTTCAGTTAGTGGTGATGAGTCCCTTTGTTGTAATGTTGCACCACATCACTTTAAAGGCAGATAAGGTGGATGTGTTTGTGCATGTAAATACAACACAGTCTAGTGCTGCTTTAGGGGGGTAAATGAGGGGAAACGATCCCTCACTCGCACACCGTCCTTCCCCTCTGGCAAATTAGAGCGAAGCACCCGCAGCCTATAATTAAAGCATCACTCAGCAGTTGCCGGTGATATGGCAGTGTTGCTATTTAAGTTGCTGGTTGAGATGCTTGTAGAGGACGAGTGGAGTAATGGCTGTTTTTAGTAGGAAGCACTGAGGCAGCAGGGAGAGGCTTGTCTGAGTCCACACCCAGCTGCCATTAACAACAACAACACACGATGCCACGGAAACATCCTGCTGCTGTGTGACACTGATGTGCTGATGGATTTGAATGTGTGTGAGTGAGAAGTTGCTCTCCATTTCAGATTGTTTAGCGTGTGTGCGTGTGTTGCGTATAATAGCGGTGTGATAGCAGTTAGCCTTACCCAACATAAGTGCCCGCTGTCAGTTATGATGGGGTTGTTTACGACAGCTGATGTTACACTATTAAGGATTGCGTGTGTGGTGTGCCTGTATGACACATCTCGAGAGGTTTCCTCGATGTGCTCTCTCATGTGTGACAGACTTCATTCAGGCTCAGCAGCTCTGTAGCCCAGACAACTGTTGTTGTTTTTCCTGGTGAGTACAATACAATAAAACAATAAAGCCCCCCCTCCAGCCACAGCTCAGTGTTCCTTCTTGCTCCTACAGTGTGCTGTTTGAATGCTGTCTGTGCAGAGTTGACACTAGAAGGATGTTTTCACATTCATCTGCTGAAAGTGGAAAGTTTCTCCGTGCTCATTGAACATCTGATTTAAGGGGCGGGGCCTACCAGCGTGATTTATGACATCACAAATAGTCTGGAAGTCAGTCCTGGTCCAGTCTGCAACTTATACAGTGTGATCCACCAGTGCACATCCCCTGAGGATGGACTTTACAGTGAATGAGGAGACATCTTGTCTCTTATTTGTATAAATGTCTTAATGCATGTCTGGAGGGGATCTTTAAGTAATTCCGTGTACAGTTTTGTTATACTGCTAAAGTCGGTTTATACTGTAGCCGGCTAGTTCATCACAAATTGAAGGCTGTTGATTGGTTCCTCCTGGCCCCAGGATGTGCCAATCAGTCCCGGACATGGATAGGCTGCTCAGTAAATATTTGCTGTCTGATTATTGGGATTGGGATTTTATGTTTGCCAAGCATAGCGGCATGTGAAATAAAAGTGAGGGCATGCAAATACACATTACTGGAACTCTTCTTGGTTCTGCCACAATGACTATCATTCAGCCAGGCACACCTTATCCAGTGTGTAAAACCCTTCATTAGCTGTGTGTGTATATGTATGTATATGAAGTCTTTGGCTGAGCTGTAGTGTTGTTGTGCTGGAGGGGCAGGGGCAGCATATGCAGAATAGCACTCATGCCTTTTAGTTATTGAGACCTCAGGGGATTTCACAAGCACACACACACACACACACACACACACACACACACACACACACACACACACACACACTTGAGTTCATTGTACAGGCTTGTTTTTTGCTGCTTCTACTCAATCGAGTCGCTGTAAAGGTTTCCTCAACATGTATTGTCATACTAATCTGTGTAAGTGTATTAGCGTCACTGGAGGTAAGAAACTCTGCTCTAGGTCACCACTCACAATTTCAGATTAAAAACTATACTATTCAATGTTTGGAGGCCTGAAGTAAAGAAAAATATCATCTTTAAAATATCATGTTCAGAATTTGGTCCATAACAGTAGTTTGTGATAATTGATTTAATATTTAGAAATATTCATTTAAATATTCAAGTTATAAAACCTTTACCAATGTACTCAGAATCATTATCTCCACCATGGTGACAAAGTCAGCAACCACACACACACACACACACACACACTTGAGTCATTGTACATTTTTTTCTTCTCTTCTACTCAATCCAATCCAAAAAAAGATTCCACAAAAAATTTAAAAAAAAACTAAAAAAAAAAAAAATAACACACAAAAAAAAAAAACACCCCACACCCAACAAAAAAAAAAAAAAAAAAAAAAAAAAAAAAAAAAATTAAAGGAAAAAAAAAAAAAAAAAAAAAAAAAAAAAAAAAAAAAAAAAAAAAGAAGTAGTTTGTGATAATTGATTTAATATTTAGAAATATTCATTTAAATATTCAAGTTATAAAACCTTTACCAATGTACTCAGAATCATTATCTCCACTCATGGTGACAAAGTCAGCAACCACACACACACACACACACACTCAAGGTGACCCTTTACTGATAACAAACAACATGCAAACAGTTCTAAGAAGTAACTTTTGTTATATTCTTGCTTTTAAGATAAAAAAAAAAAAAAAAGCACAGGACAGCTGTCACCTGCCTGCATGTCTCTCTGGGGGAAAGTAGTTCATTATCTGTAGCATAACCTCTTATCAGCAGTAGCAACCCTGCACACATACAAGTGTGTGTGTGTGACTGTTAAATGTTGCATAACTCCCAGCACCAGCTTTTTGAATCGGGGCCTGATTAGAGGGGTTTTGTGTATTAGGATAAATGCCCCATTTCTCTGGCGGTTTTCCAGCAGCTTATTGTGAAAGTCTGTGATTGTAACATGTAAATATCAGCTGAGAGAGAGAGAGCGCTGTGCCGGGGCTTCTTGACTGGGTTATTGATTAGATGGATGGCCTGGTGGAAAGTGGAGGTAGAGGGGAGGGAATGATGGATAGAGGGGAGGGAGTGGTGGAGGAATGCAGCAGCTGCAGTTGGAGCCCAGAGGCGCTTTGATTTGTGTGTGTGTGTGTGTGTGTGTGTGTGTGTGTGTGTGTGTGTGTGTGTGTGTGTGTGTGTGTGTGTGTGTGTGTGTGTGTGTGTGTGTGTGTGTGTGTGTGTGTGTGTGTGTGTGTGTGTGTGTGTGTGTGTGTGTGTGTGTGTGTGAAGCATGAATACCAATGCTATCTAATCTGTCCCACACACTTGAAAGGTGACTGGTGAATATAAACTGCACACTTTCCCCCAGGGGTGGGCTGTGGGCGAGGGTGGGGCTGTTTGGGGCTTCAGCTTGGGTTGGTGTGGTGATCTGAATATTCCACTCTTAAAACCCATACTGCGCCAACTCTTTTTTTCAGTTGGACTTCTTCATATATTTTGTGCTTTTTGTGTTTCAAATGGCAACCATAAAAGGCAGCATGAGGCGTAAAGGACTTCAATACCCAGAAACTCTGTAAGGGAGTGTAATTAAAAGTTCTCCAAAGCTACAACTGTATTTTTAAAGTTAATTTAACATCTTGACTTTGTATGGATGCAGTTTTTTTGTGTTGTTTTTGTGAGTTTGTTTTTAATTTCTCTCTGTTACATGTAGTAGCAGTTTTTAGACCAAACTAGACATAGTTAAAGTTAAGTTAAAAATAACAAATCCTCTTGTAGAGCGTCAACAGGGTTTTGCGATATACTTTGAGAGCAAGAAAACAGAGAAAGAGACAGACAAAAACCAGCCTGTATTTGTGTTCCAGCTTATGTTTTTCCCCTCATTGCTGCAAAACTTTAGTTTGTGCTTGATAGAAAGGGAGGAATTTATTCTGTTTCATCTTAAGCTATATAAACTTTAAACATACAGAGAGACAAAGACATTTAAAGTTAGAGGAGGAGTAAAGAGAAGTTAAAGTTAAATGCAGATACTCCAGTTCTGTGTGTAAACAACTGATGGGGAACGAGAGAAAGGAAGATTAAAGTAAAGATATGAAGAGAGGAAGGTGGTGCCGAAATAACTTGCATTCCTCCATCATACAGTATCCAGACAGGAGGAGGAGAAAGGGGGGAGGGAGTACAGGGAGCTCTGTGGTGAACAGGTAGAGAGTGGGAGGAGTGGAAGTGGCCAAGTGAGCAGTCAGTAACGGAGAGGGAGGACAAGAGCGAGAGAGCGTGTCATTCAGTAGGAGGGCAGAGAGAGAGAGAGAGAGAGAGAGAGAGAGAGAAGTGTGTGTGTGTGTGTGTGTTCTTTTCAGTTTGTCTCGTCCTCCGGTGATGGTGGGAGGGAGTCAGTGAGAGAGACAGGAAAGACCGAAGACACAAGAGAAAGGAGTATTTTTTGTGTTGTGTGAGTGTGTGTGTGTGTGTGTGTGTGTGTGTGTGTGTGTGTGTGTGTGTGTGTGTGTGTGTGTGTGTGTGTGTGTGAGTGTCTGCGTGTGTGTTTGTTCACCGAGACATGGGCTCCTCGGCCAGCAAAGCCCATGCAAAGCCCAGCAGGGCCCCCCCCCATCTGCGCAAGAAGAAACGCAAGGTGTGTGTGTGTGTGTGTTTTTACAGCTGTAGATGAGTTTCTGCTGCTGCTCCTTCCTTTCTCTTCTCTACTGTTGGTCTTTTACAATCCGGTTACCTCTAACCAAATGTTTTTTTGTTAATGTTGAGCACATTAGCTGTTCAGGCCAGACTCTAGAGACATGACACTGCCTTGTTTGGATCATCAGTGTCACTCACACCAAGGCTACAACGAGGGATGAACTCTCCTTATCATGGTGTTTTTATGACACTTTCTCTCACCATCGTCTTCTCTCTTACCACTCCAGTAATCTGTCAGATCTCTACAGAGTTTATATTTTCACTACTGGAAACCTTTGGCCATTATCACAAGCTGTCTGTTCAACTTTTTGCTCTCTTTTCCCACTCTTTGTTTTATCTATCTGCTCTTTCACTTTACTGACCCCTCACAGAACAGATGGACTTTATGGCTGTGTGTGTGTGTGTGTGTGTGTGTGTGTGTGTGTGTGTGTGTCTGTGTGTGTGTGTGTCTGTGTGTGTGTGTCTGTGTGTGTGTGTGCGTGCGTGTGTGTGTGTGTGTGTGTGTGTGTGTGTGTGTGTTTTAACAAGAAGGCAGGAGCAGAAGTGTTCGGTCTCCATTGTAAATTCCACTACTCCTGTTGTAAAGCTGCTGCTACTTCACGTGTGTGTTTGTGTGTGTGCTAGAAAGAGTGCATGTTATGGTAACTACCATAAGGGACTATAGCAGAATAATGTGGTGGCACTTTGGTAAGCTCATCAAGTTGAAGTCTGTACTAGTCCACATGTTTATGTGTGTGTGTTTATAACTGGTGTAGGTAGCCATACAGTGTGTGTGGTAAGAGAGAAGTGAATAGAAAATACTGAATATGAAGGACTATTCAGGTCAGAATAGTCTGCTCCTGCGGGGCAGAGATGTGATATTTCAGTTTTTTTCACAATGTTATTTGTTCATTCTTATTTGGAGTAAAATATCCAGTATCTATTACATAATTTCCGTGTCTTTCCATTCCCGCTTTGTGGTTTACACTCTAACATAGCAGGTGGCGGTAATGCACCTTAATATATAAACACAATAAAAGCAATTTTCTTTTTCAGATTTTCTACAGAGAGCATAATATATGGTTGTGGTGAATTAATTTTGCCACAATAATTGTGTAGTGAAAAAGTGATATGGTGACAGCTCTGGTTGTTGGCTCTGGTCACCCTACTGGCTCTTTTATCTGCGTTACTGTGTTCCTACTCACAACCCTGCCTCTCCAACCACTGCTGACCTTTACAAAAGTAAAGGTAGTTAACTTTAAAGCCAATGAGTGCAGTCGATCTGTGACTACAAATTCTATCTATTCAATATGTATATATAAATATATATATACTTATATATTATTATTATTAGTACTGTTGTACTAAAGTCCTAGAGCAAATTAGCTTATGTAGAAGAAATCAGTGTACAGTCCATGTTCCCTCACTGAGAGCTAACATAGTGGTAGGGGGGTGTTTTTGGCCTTCTTACATAGAACCCCTGTATATTGTGTACTGAATAGTGAATGAATTTGGACACAGCTTCAATGTGTATCATCAATCTCTGCTCATATTTGAGTTTAATAGTGCAGAAAGCAATTCTGGAGAAAGATTCCAGTTGGTCAGATACCGATGCTTTGTGGAGTTCTCTCTCCTGATTGGATAAAGTAGGGAAAATTTATTCTCAGTTTACTGCAGAACAGTGTATATCAGTGATGGCTGTCAGACTGTTGAGCTGTTTAACTCTCATATTAACAAACAAATATCACAGAGACTTAATTTTTGTCTCTTCATGTTCCCTTCTGTGCAGCGCGAGGAGGCCCTGAAGCAGAAGAAGGAGCTGTCACTGGAACTGGCAAACCTGCGAGACGAGCTGGGTAAGACACCCTCATCACCAAGGGCTAACTCATACGCGCTCTCTCTCTCTCTCTCTCTCTCTCTCTCTCTCTCTCTCTCTCTCTCTCTCTCTCTCTCTCTCTCTCTCTCTCTCTCTCTCTCTCTCTCTCTCTCGTGCATTTGCATATGACACACACACTCAGATACAAAGCTTATCAAGGACAGGTCAACTGCCATTCAAAACCTGGTGTTCTCTCTGTTGTAATGCTAAAGTGCAGCTGCTGCTCATTCATTCTTAACTTGCTCATATGTCATGTCTGTCATGTGCCTTGGTTTATGAGCTTTTTACCATCAGGTAGTTGTTAGGATTTCAAAATTGAGACATTAGTGTAATTACTATAAATAAGTTAACACAGCCTGTGATGTCTATGCCACTGGGTTGGATTGGGGATCTGGTGCATTGCTTTACAGCACAACCAGATGGAGCTTTATGGCACAAGACAGTAAATGCACACTGTTTGGCCGATTTTAAATAGAATTCTTCTTCTTTTTTTTTTTTTTTGGCTTTAATAATTTGAGCACCTTCTCAAGAGCCACTAGTCTACTAGTATGAGCTGACAGTTCAGAGCCATCTCACGTCAGAGTAACTCCAGAGTGGAGCATTCAAGGTGATAGCAGCTGATAAGACTTCAACAACAAGACATGATCCAAATAATGCAGAGTTACCTGGCTCTGCGGGGGGTGTTTTCAGATAATGATTAAGAAACCGTTTCCATGTCTAGTGCGTGCGTGTGTATGTGTGTTTGAGGTGTGTTCCTCAGCATTTGGCAGCCTTCCATTTAACTGTCATTGAGACAATGCATGAGTTCAATCTCAGTGGTTACAAACAATGTGTTTACAAAGAAAAGAAAGGAAAACAGGCAGTGGGGATGGAGCAAGTGAAGGCAGACATACACAATCTGTTTTATTAATATGTTTAATGGAAGTGGTTCTTGGAGTTAGTGTCAGGATGAGTCCAATAGCTCACTGGATAGACTTCCACATGCACTGTATTTATATAGCAACATGAAGGCATGCATTTATACACACACACACCCACAGAGTGACACACTACTGGCCTGCACTGTATTTATATAGAAAGTAACACACACGACACACACACACACACACACACACACACACACACACACACACACACACACGTATCAGTATATTAAAAATAACCATGACTGTAATTTAAGTATATTCAAGTATTTGAGTGCTCACACACATATGCTCTAAATACCATCTTAAATTTAGCTTCCATATATACACTTACTCAAACCGCCTGTCCACTGCACATACCAGGCACCACACACACACACACACCTTTTTCTCACCGTCACTTTCTTTCTACTTTCCCCCCGGCCATCATTCTGAGCAGCAGTGACTATAATCTTTTCTTTTACTGCGTGTTTGACCTTTGGCTCGTCTCTTTACACACAGAGCTGAGGAATGTCAGCAATGTATAGACCCCCGCTGTCACCATACACACACACACACACACACACACACACACACACACACACACAGAGCCGTCTGTTAAACCTTCATAGCCCAACTGAACGGGACGGACCTGTTTGTGTCTCATTGGGTAACGTCAGGTGGTTTAATAGTTTACCTGTGATGTTTTACAGTGTAGAGTTACTGTAACAGAACTGCTGCAACTATTAGGATCAGGCCAGAGCAGCATTCCTGCTTCTTCTGAAAGCTGTTCACCAGCTATGTACTGAATTCACATTTGACTGACTGTGTGTCACATTTTATTTGGTATCCTATCAATGGGAGGAAACACGTTGTGAAGGAAGGTAGATTACATAAAAACTCTAGCTTGAAGCTGTTTGCCTTGTTTCATTGACTTTTCCTGCACTGTCTGAATGCAGGGAGTCTGTGTGCTCTTAACAAGTCTAAAACCCAATAATCTGAATCGTAGGTCTTAAAATGTCTTATATGATCTCCACAGGTCTTAAAAATTGATTGTGTGAATGAAGTTATTGTTACATAAGTTAAATTTTTCTGTCTCTTTTTAAATGTGGTTTGGAGAGGAATTAGTATTGATTATGCTGTAACAACTACACATGGAACCAATACCAATTTCCTTCATATCCTTTGCCATGGACATAAAATAGGTCTTAAATGTAGCCTGTTGAATCCTGTAGAAACATGTGAATGAGGAGCCCTCTTTTTACCCCACACAACCCCAGAAGTGACCCCAAGCAGACATTTTATACCGGGGTGAAGAAGAAGGGTATCTCCTGAAATTATGTCATTATTTTACACCGCCACCTGCCAAGCACCTGCTGTCACACACACACACACACACACACACACACACACACAGTTTGTGTTGTCCAGTCTATGATAGAGAACAAGCTTGTGTCTAAGATGCTCTCAGCTGTCGTTGGCTTTGTATGTCCATTACCATGGCGACAGGCGCTTACACTCACACTATAGAGCTCCATTCAGAGGGGAACAGCAACTGTCCCAGCTCCAGCCAGTTGTTATCACACACTTATATGAGATAGAATATTTATATTACAGGCACAGGAGTGTGTGTGTGTGTTTGTGTGTGTGGGGTTGTGTCTGATCAGCTTTTCCAAGTGATTGCATCAATACAGTACGTCCCTGCCGGAGTATGGTTCTGCTGCTACTGACTGATAGATCACTGTTTCTGTGTGAGTGCCGAGGTCCTGAAAGCAGTGCGAGGCAGAGATCTTTGTCAGTCCAGGTGCTCTGTTCTTTACCTTGATTTCGTCCCAAATGTTTCAGATTAGAAACAGTCATAAATCAGAATGGCGTGTGATGATGGGTAGAGGCGGAGGGAAGCGTGCATGTGCTTGCGAGAGTTTAAATTAGTCATGAGAGGAATGAGCCCTGCTGCATACTTCTGAGCTGACTTGCAGATGTTTCGGGGTTGGATCTCACGTCTGCCGTAAGAGCAGTTCAACTGGAATGCGGTTGTGAGGGAACGCTGAGGAACACACACACACACACACACACACACACACACACACACACACACACACACACACACACACACACACACACACACACACACACACACACACACACACACACACACACACACACACACACACACACACACACACACAGAAAATGTGTTATTCATTACCTATTGAGACACTGACTGTTCCAGGCATGCCCCACCTCACCCCACAGTCTGCACTGACATAATGTGATCTGATGGTTGTATTGTTGTGTGTTATGGATGTGACACACTGATTCACGGTAAGACGATAAATGGTCAAAATAGTAGCTCAGTGATGGCTAACTGACTCCACATCTGGCCTCCACTCCCCTCACATCTGCCCTCAAAAGGATTTCTTAGAACTTATGTTGTGTAATAAACAGCTGATTCCCAACCTGTTCTTTCTCTTCTCTCCTTTTTCTTGTTCTGTAACCATGACAACCGGCAGGTCGAGCCCTGACTCTTTTGTTATAGTAGATGAATCCGCTCTTGAATGTTTTGGTCACTGCAACAGTTTGAAAATAATTGCTTAGCTGATGGCACTTTGGATTGCTGGAGCTCTCTTGTGTATATATCTGCTTTTTGCAGCATCAGTCAGTGAGTTTTGTCGGTCATTTTGAGACTTTTCTCTTTCGGATCTTGCTTTACAGACTTTTATTTCTAGGTAAGATTGTGCTCTTCATAATGAAATAATAGTTTTGGATATATTTCTTTAAAAAAAAAAAAAAAAAAAAAAAGATTTCCCAAACCGGTGGTTTCGAGGGTTTTTTCATTGCAGAAGTACAAACTAACATTTACCTCCTGCTCTTCTTCTTTCAGTCTCGTCGTCACAGTGCTGCAAGCATCTGCAGAAGGAGAAGGAGGAGGTGCGCGTCAGCTTGGAGGAGGCCTTGAAGAGGCTGGAGGAGCAGCACAAGGAGGAGCTGGTGCAGCTGGAGGACAGGTGTGACATTCACCTCTGCTGATGTGCTCAGCACTCAGCTTCACATATATGGGATATTTATTACTCTGACTAGGCCTGAGCAATAAAACAATAGCAATATGTATCAGCAGGAGACAATCACCAATAGCCGGCGTGTCAAACTCAAAGGAGGGCAACTTCAACGTTAAAGTGCTATGAGACAGCACAATATTTAAAAAATACCTCCATAAGTAACATCGTACTGCAAACAGCAGTTTCTATACATGTTTTTATCTTCTCTGTTGTGTGTTTTTTTTCTAATTGTATATGAAGGGAAACAACTAGAGAAAATCTTGTAGGACGTGTTATTTATACTTTTGACATGGTATCAGAGGAAGGGGGATGGAGGGCCGCAAATGGCCCCCAGGCTGGCAATTTGAGTTCCTGATCAATAGCAATAATAATTTTTAATAGTTCCACTTAAAAACATTGAATGCAAACTGGGTTGCTAAATAGCCTCACACATCCCTTGATGATGGAGCATGCAATGAGTCGGTCACCACAGCTGCTTCCACCGTTTGGATTATTCAACATGTCATCAGTCACAACCTCCATTGGTTAATGTCAAGAAACAATTCACAGACGGTCCTACTCAGCCACAGTACTGTATGGCAAATCATCACCTTAGTGCCTTCATACATAAAGTGGGTAAACCTGCTCTTTATTAAAAATAGGTCATTAAAAACAATCAATAATGATTTATATCCCCTGAAATGAAACATTTCATCGTGATACGTTTTTCAGCTTGAACTTCTGTGTTAGTACGCCACTGATTGGAAATGAAAGTGCTCTGATTGTTGTGTCCTCTGAGTGTAATTAGACTAACTGTTTCTTCTGTGTGTCAGATTGAGGAGTTTTTACCAAACCGAGTGGGATAAAGTCCACCAGACGTACCAGGAGGAGGCTGACAAATGCCGCATGTTGATGGAGCAGCAGGTCAGAGCACGCACACACAACACACACACACACACACACACACACACTTACCTACACACATAACATAACACACGTAAGTGTTGTTACCGTCACTCTGTTGTACGCACGCAGTGACAAGTAGTTGCATGTCAGTCTTGTAAAATGTTCTTCAGCCTGCGACTCTCCTATAAATGTTTCATTGTGAAATAATTATAGACAAGTTGAACACAAAGTCAACATGACATGTAATAAATTGATTTGATTGATTGATCTGCTGCTGCACAGCTAACATGGCTGCAGGGAAACTGATGTGTGACCAGTATGTTTGTCAGAGAGCGCTGACTGGAAATGAAACATCCCATCATCCCACCCTCCTCAGACTGAGCTCTGATAGGTCAACAGTCTGTATTACAGTTGTACCAGAAGAATCTGTAATAAGCAGATACTGTCTTTAGTGAAGTCATTTGTACGCCTCCCTGATTTGCATCTGCTTCCTTCAGGTGGAGGAGCTGAGGAGCCGACAGGAAGCAGAGAGGAAGACCCAGGAAGAGAGTCACAGCCAGAAGATGAAGTCTCTCAAACTGCAGTATGAGACCTCCATACAAGGTGTGTGCAGGACAGATGCACACACAGATACAGCATCAGCTCAGCATGTGAATCATATGTAACTGCTCAAGCATTAATGGCTTTCATATACTGAATTAATATTTTCAAAGTCAGTCATTAGTTTAGTTTATTCATTTTGTCCGATCACTTGACCCTAATGTGTGTGTGTGTGTGTGTGTGTGTGTGTGTGTGTTCCTATCAGAGCTGAAGAGGATCCAACAGACAGACATGGAGAACCTTGAGAAAACACTGAAGGAGACTGAAACAGCTCTCTCTGTAAGAGACGCTCATATATTCATATTTACACTTTTTGAAAAGAAACAACTTGAACGTCTTACTGAACAAACATTTTTCTAACAAAGAAAGTTAGAAAAACGTTTAAGATGTAATTTTAAACCTTTTAGGAACCAGAGACATACTGTACTACAGTGAGTGTTCCTCCACAGTGACTCAGTGCATGCAGAGGTTTTAGTGTTTTGCTCACTGAAAAGCTGCTGCGGCAGTCGGACTAGAGACTTTTCCAGTTTGGTTAGAAAATTGGAGTCGCCTTGCTAACCAAAAACATTTTTTTCTGCCCCTGGTTTCAAGGAAAAAATTCAAAAAATCTTTTGGAGGAACGCAGATGATTAATCATGGAAAATTCTTTCTTATAATTGCATCTGTGTGCTGCCTGCCAAATTCCCTGAAACTTAACATCGGTTGAGTAAAAATGTGGAGTTCAGTTATAATGTTGGAAGCAAAAAGATAGAGGATAGAGAAGAGGATAGATTTCTGCAGGATCTGTATTTCTGCTTTGTTTTGCTCATTCTTTGTGTTGGCAGTAACGTCTTTTAATCATTTGTTTGAAGCAGTAGTTTGAGGAGTTTACCTGCTACTGGTTTTGACTCTGAATGTCTAAGTTTGTAAGAATCAAAACTCAGTGTTCTCTCAGTAATGACGTCTGTCTCTGTGTACACGTCTTTCCCTGCAGGAGAAAGTATCTGAGCTGTCAGTAGAGAAGGAGGCTCTGAATGAGAAGCTAAAAGCAGAGGAGGAGAGGAGGAAGCGCATACTCAGTGACAAGAATCTGGTAAAGATTGTTACATCTAAGAATGTTTCTGTCACTGACTCACTGCGTGAATGCAAGTTAATAAAGGAAAATTAACCAAGTGGAATAAACGCAGTGCTATTGTACCCGGCACAAACAAACACGAACGCCATCCAGTTAAATTCTTCCCTCCAGCAAAGTTTCTAAAATCCCAAGGAGACACTGCAAACTGTCAGTCAAAACATTATACAGGGGGTCAAGTGGGGTCATCAATCTTCTGATTTTCGTCCACATGAGTACCCTTACTTCTTGTTGAGTAACGCCACCTCTGGTGAGAATGGCCACCACTAAGTTCACCAGTATTTCTTATACAGAAGTTGTGAAATAATTAGTAATTAGTAATTACTTTGATGCCCCAAAACACCCCTGGCACGTAAAATGTTTGGACCTCTGCATTTCTAAAACCCTGCGTGTGTGAGTTCAGGAGCTGTCCTCGCCAGGCAGTTGAATCTGTTTCCCTGCAGAACACAGCTTCCCTCTGCTGGTTTGGAAGAATCACACACTGAACTTAGCATAACATGATAGCATGACCACTTACTGTGGTGACTGTTATTGCAGTTCATCTGTATTCAAGTTTGATGTCTAACTTGTGTTTGTTTGTGCAGAAGGACTCCCACACAGTGTACCTGGAGCAGGAGCTGGAGAGTCTTAAGGTGGTGCTGGAGATCAAGAACAACCAGCTGCACCAGAAGGAGAAGAAGTTAATGGAGATGGACAAACTGGTGGGCATTAATCTGTCTCTGTCCCCATATACTATTGTCTTGGAGAGTTAGAGGTCTAAATGTTGTTCCAGGCTTAACTCTGGGGAAAGAAATCTGACTTATTTTCACTTTTACATTCTACATTGTTTTGGGGAAAGTATTGAACCAATGTTTTGTGTGTGTGTGTGTGTGTGTGTGTGTGTGTGTGTGTGTGTGTGTGTGTGTGTGTGTGTGTGTGTGTGTGTGTGTGTGTGTGTGTGTGTGTGTGTGTGTGTGTGTGTGTGTGTGTGTGTGTGTGGCAGGTGGAGACTAATGTGAAACTGGAGGAGTGTCTGAACAAGGTCCAACAGGAGAATGAGGACTACAGGGCCAGGATGGACAAACACGCAGCTCTCTCAAAGTATGTACTCGTGCTCCTGCAGCTGCTGTGTGTCTGTGTGGATATTCAGCTCGCCGTCTGTGGACTTTAAACAGAAGGTCCATCGGCCATGTAGTCTTATGTCACATGTGACCTTTCCTTTAACTCATAAACTGTAAGATAGAACATTGTGTTGTGGACTAGACACAACAGGAGCCACCATGTGAGGCCCTGTATTCACATAAATTCACACTAACAATAATCTTAACTGAACAATCTGAATGAGAACAATAATCATGAGCTGTTTTGTGATTAGAGTATTATCTGACCAGTGAAAACATGGACATTTGTTAATACATATATAGACAGTGTATATTTTGTTAATATTACAGATATTTAGATTTATAATATTAATTGTACAATAAAACAAAACAGCAGATGACAGCAACAAAAGAAAGGAAGCAAATTATGGAGGTAAGATTAAAAAAAATCCCTAAGGCTTATACTATACAATCTCACCTCAAAAAACCAACGGCAAACCAATCAGTTAAAACCTGACAGCGGTAACTACAGCTCTCTGTCTCCCCCTGCAGGCAGCTGTCCAGCGAACAGGCCAAACTCCAGCAGACGCTGCAGAAAGAGTCCAAGGTCAACAAGCGTCTGTCCATGGAGAACGAGGAGCTGCTGTGGAAGCTGCACAACGGCGACCTGCTGGCGAGCCCCCGCCGCCTCTCGCCCACCTCGCCCTTCAGCTCACCCCGGAACTCTGCCTCCTTCCCCACAGCTGCCCCCTTATCGCCCAGATAACCCCGACAACGAGCGGCAACCCCCTCCTCTCCTCTGACCTCCCGACTCTCCTCACAAAGATGTTCCAAATACAGAGAAAGACTTAAGTGACAGCAGGCGTTGTTGGAATATTAACGCTGAACGTGTACATTTGGAATAAGTTGCAGTAAAGACGCTGATTTCGAGAGCGAAGACATTGCAGTGGCACCGATGCACTCAAGTCTGAGCGTGGGACTGGCCTTGCTCTCTCGTTCTCCAAGAGACGTTTCTTCTTTTTCTGAAGAAAACCTAAATAACAGGCACACCTCAGGGTCTGTACATAGCGCCTCACTTTTCGTTATGACTATCCTTCCCTTTTTTTTTCCTTTGATGTTGTACAGTTTAAGTTCAGTATTTTCTTTTATACCCTTCTTTTTAAAGGGGCAGATGAGAGAAAACCTTGGATTTGTGGCATATTTGTGGAAATGGACTCAAACTGGTTTGGGTTTGGTAAATCATAAATTGACGGGTACTACTCGGTGGAATAGCATGGATCGTTTTGCCTTTTCCATTCTTTTAAAGAGGACGTCTTTTTCCCCCAAAGAGCGAAGCTCAATCACTGATCTGCTTTGGACTTCTGGAAGAAGTGCATGGTGTCCTTCTGTGGACAAACAACTGATAGAACCTCTGATCCAATGGATACCTGTTCCTCCGTGTGAGCTCCTCACAACCTCTACCTTAATCTAATATGTGGAATGTAATCACCCTCGGATGTTAACTCTGAGCAGTTCAGACACACACCATCTCAGAGCCAAATATGCAGTTTATTTAACAGGGATGGTGTTGGCCAGGACAGTGTTTACCCCCCCCCCACCCCTTTTCTTTTCCCCTTAAATCTCTCATTACTGAAGAGATACGACTCCCCACACATCCTCTAAAATCACCTCGTGTCCAAACAGGAACAAGGCAAAGCTGAACCAGCAACGGAGGGTTCATATCTGTCTTTGCTGTGGGTCACACATACACAGAGAAAACTCCCAGACTCTCCTTAACTGCCAGACTCTGGCCTCTCTGTAACGGAATCCAAAAACAATATCACTTTGTGTGTCTGGTGTTTTGTCCTGAAAAACCTCAAATGTCCGCATATTGCCTAAGTCTACCATGTTCTGCTTTATTTTGGACACAGAATAAATACAATATGACATAAGAGAAAGCAACATTGTTTTATTTCGAGTATTCAGTGGTATTATTTTTTTTGGGAATACAGGAGAGGTTTCTTTGTACCCTGTAACGGATGTGAATTAAGTCAGATATAAAAACAGGAAAGCTTTCCAGGATACATGTTGCTCTCAGCTTATTGGTCCTGTGGAGGACCAACGCTGTCGCCTGCTGCTGTGCTGGGCTCGAGTCCTCCCGGTAACGGGGCGAGGACTGGCGGCAGATGCTCGAGGTCGGCGGCTCGTACCATCATTACCACGGATTTGATGGAGTACCACCAGCCGTGCCAGGTGTACCACACCACGCCGTCGTCGGTCATTGCTTCGTACGGCCCCTTGTAGTAATGACCGTTCAGGTTGCCTGAATCACACCTATGAGGAGGAAGTCAAAGACAATAACGTGACAAACCTTTCACCCCTTTATTCATTTGCACGTATTAAGTGAGACTGAAGTTGCGTTACCTGCTGAACCACCAGCCCGACTTGCTGTGTCGGATACACCCAGCGTCATTGTTTTCAGCGTCGCCGTCGTTCAGCTGATCGTAGGTTCTGAATTTGATCCCGCTTGACCCCGAGCCTGGACCGGCCAGGGCGTTCCCTGCATTCCCAATGTAGTCTCCCAAATGTAACTGGTACTGGTCCTGGACAGGAGAGTAAAAGCAAAGAATAAATCTTTGACGTTGCAAAAGGCCGAGTGTCCGTGGGGTCTAAAATTGTCTAAAATCAAGAATCTGAGTTGTAGCCCTTAGAATGTCTTAAAATTGATTGGATTAATATTTAATTAATATTACTTGTATAAAGTTTCATTTTTCAGTCTCACTTTTAAATGTGTTTTGGGTAAAAAGTGTATTGATCATGCTCTAACAACTACCAAACAAACCCTACATGGAATCAATACACATTCTCCATATCCTTCCTACTTTCACCCGTATGGACCTAAACTATGTCTGACATGGCGTTATTATGGTCTTAAAAAGGCTTAAAGGTACAAAATGTCATTTCTGCAGCTAGCGAGTCTCTCACATCAAAACAATAACAAAAGACATTTGTTTGTTGTGAAGCAGTGTGGGATCATGGGAGTTGTTGTCTTCACCACCATTGCAGTCAGCTTCTCCCAGTTAGGATTCCTTCAGTGTTCATGGTTCAGGAGGTTTCTACTGGGAGCCCAATGATCCACAGAGGTCTCCTCCTCTCCAAAACAAACAGACCCGCTGATTAAAACCGCTGAACTAAAATCCTTCATCCGGTTCAAATCTAGAGTTAAAAAGCACCAAGATCTAAACAGTGGATGGTAACAATGTGGCTTCAGACTGGATAAACAGTCAATGTATGACAGCTTCTGGCAGACAACCACAACACTGACGCAGGCACAAAGGGGATATAACGCCATTGACAGGCACAAATGGAAACATTTGGGATAATGTAAGGACAAAACTCAACTACATACAGAACATAGAGCTAGAGTTTATAGACTGTTTAATGTTAGAGATTAGAGCTTTAAGCTTAACCTGGTGAACCTGCAGAAACCCTGAAAGAAACAGCCGGTTGAAATGTCCTTCAGAGAAACCAAGACAGTACTATATAGAGTATAGTATCTGAATAGAGAATGTGTGTACTTTGGCCACATCTGCTGGAGCCAGACGTCCTTGCTGTTGTTTCCATAGCAAAGATCATAAAACACAAAGAACATGCATAGTCTAAATAAGACCCCTGTTGTTATGGGAGATGAAGAGAGGGTGAGGTTAATGATGGGAAAAGAGTAGAAATCAGAGGAAAAGGACAGACCGAGATAGTTATACGCTGTTTTTACAGGACAGCTGATTTACTCCAGTCTGGAGGATTTAAATCACTTTCCAGAAGTGTGTGAAATTGCACAAAAGAGATTGGATGGACTCCACTTCCTTCCTGTCTGTTTTACCTGTTCATCGTCCACTTTGAAGTTCTTGTACTCTGCGTAGCGCTGATTACCCTCAAAGTCCTCCATGTCGACCCGCAGGTCGTAGTTTCCTGTAAGACACTGAGTCACACAGGTGGCCATCCTATAAAGTCTGACAGATCATCAACACACACGTACAGGCACACACACCCTGTGAGGTGAGATGGTGTAGAGGTTCATTGCCCAACCAGAATTCTCCCTCAGGGGAGAAGAGGTCTCCAAATCCGTGCTTGTACTCCACCCACGCTCTGCACACACACAGTGCAACACGCTCATTATACATTCACTTTCTATGTCAAACATATTGACATGTGCACTGTTTGTAAGGTGTGTGTGTGTGTGTGTGTGTGTGTGTGTGTGTGTGTGTGTGTGTGTGTGTGTGTAAAGCTGACGCACACACACACCTGTCAAAGCTCTCTTTGCCGTCTCTCCTCCTCTGGAAGACGGTCCAGCCTCCTCCGTTGTTCATGTCGCAGTAGACGCTCAGTGCGGTGGGGGAGCCGCCTGGACGGATCACGTACAGCCCGCTGGCCACGTTACCGTCTGCGAACACCTCGGAGCAGTCTGAAGATGTACAAGGTCAAATATTCAAAGCAAGGGGGAAAAATAATTGGTTGGGATACAATATAAACAAACAAACAAACACGTTAGCTTAACGTCTGGGAGGATTTTTTACTGTGAAGCTGCTGCAGAGTCACCAGTGTTCACTCCCAGATGTTAACTGCTGATTGAGACGCATTTTATATGTAGAATTCCAATGTCTGGCACTAAAATATCCAGACTTGGACCTGAATCAATCAATAACACGAGTTAATACCCAAACATATACAACGGTTTTCAGCAGAATAAAGTGGTTTGGGGGTGCAAATGGTCCATCGACCATATCATACATTGTCTTTCTTTGTTTTTATTTAACTTGGGCAAATAAATCACCAAATAAAATAAATTTGTATTATTAATATCACATGAAATAATACCATTTTAATGTAAACATTTTATTTAAAAACTCAATAAATCCTAATAAAATAAAAATGTACATATTTATAGTGTTACATTATCTCCTCAAACAGTTTTATTGTTCATACTTTTGTTGTAAAACATTGGATACAATAAAATAATGAAATTTAACATGTTTTGCTCAAATAAAGGATATAATTTAATTCAATTCAATTTTATTTGTAATTCACCAATTGATAACAGAAGTTATCTCAGGACACTTTTCAAATAGAGCAGGTCTAGACTGAACTCTTTATAACATTAATTACAGAGACCCAACAGTACCACCATGAGCAAGCACTTGGCGACAAGGGCAAGGAAAAACTGCCTGTTAAGAGACAGTGTTAATGTGTTTGCAATTACATATTAACAAGGACATTGTCAGACCTGTTTAATAAAAACAAGGATGAGATAAAACAAATTCAAGTTTACTGCGGTGTGCATTGTTACTGTCGTCCCATCTGACGGGGTCAACAGTGACAATGCACACCGTCTGTTCAAAGTCAAATGAAACCAAAGTCACTGACAATTGTTGATTACAACAAAAATAAGTTTCTTTCTGTGACGTTATTTTATAAAACAACATTTATCTGGAAATGTGTTACTTTGGTACCAGCTCTCCGTACTCTTTAATTCACATAGTTGACCTTTTCCACTGTGGAACATACGGAGACGTTCAGCAGGGCTTTACAGCTGCATTCATGTTTGTTTGGACACATGGATGCAGAATAACACTAGGACCTGATTGAATTGCCTTACAAAGTCAATTTAGCTAACAGTTTCCTATTTCCACATCCAGCAGGCACACAGCAACGTCCGTGTTCATTTGGAGTCTGGTTTCAGGACCCCAGATGAATGTAAGTTCAATATTTTGAGCTCTGTTTGGGTCTTTTGAGAGAAAGAACACTCATCAGTGGAGAACGCAGATACACACTCTGACGCTCCAGACATAAATGTCTCTCATCTGAAATGTGGCCCTACCTTTGGAGAGGTTCTCAGGGCCCAGGTGGGAGTTGGGTATGTGCTCCAGCTGCTGGGTCTGGCTGTTGTGGAGCTCCTGGATGTAGCGATGCTGGTCGTCGATCACATTCATAAGACCCTGGATCTCTGCTTCAAGGCGGACAACCTTCTCCTCGCATGGCACAGGGGCCTGGACAGAGGAAGAAAGACGAGATAGTTAGCTGGCACACGGAGGGTTCTCCTGGCTTTTAAGGGTCGGAAAGCTCAACAGACAAAGACACAGTGCATTCTCAGTCTGTGTGATCACATAATGACACATTTATTCACCGTTCTATCCACTGTGCATGTAGAACCTGTTTTTTTTTATATATTTCTTTATTGCAGAATATTGATTTATTATTTTAGTTGTGTCCAGATAGCATTATGTTCTGCTGAAATATTCTACAATCCTTGAAGTTTCCAAAACTAACCAAAAGAGGTTAAAAAAAGATGCATGGTGGTCAAAACAAACATGCTGACACTTTTTTTTAAAGCTGCAGTAGTTCATTTTTATCAACATATTTGCTGAAACTGTCACTATATCCTGACAGTAGAACATGAGACAGATAATCTGTGAAACAATGAAAAAGAGAAAGATAGTTGATTGTTCAGTGTCATTCCCAGGGCGTCAAATACAGATGTTTTAGGACCCTGGGAAGAGAAGTACCTCAGACTCAACAATCAACTATCTTTAAGATTCAAACCCAAAGCGTGTTTCTATCTTTCTCAGCTCTGATTGGTTGTTTTCGTTCAGGCCGTGTGGATTCTTGGAAATACCATTAGAGGAGCCAAAGGAACCTGATTGTCTCAGAGATTATCTGTCTCATGCACTACTGTCAGGATATAGTGAAAGTTTCAGTTTATATGACAAAAAGCTATTTTTATAAAAGTTACCTACTGCAGCTTTAAAGCTACTGAACATGTTTTTGTCTAGTGACAGCCTATCAGGTGCAGACATAGTGATCCAAAACCAACATCACAGGTACTGAGTCTGACAGAGGCATGAAACAGTGGACACTGGAGGTACAGTCCTATCAAGCCTGGTTGGTCTTTAGTTATTGTTGAAAAATTACATTGAAAATTGAGAGCGTTCACATTACTCTGGATAAATCTCACCATGAACATTTTCATTGGAAATACTCCTTTACCAGACAAACATATAGAAATATAGAAACTGTCCACAGTGAAGTCTGTGGAGTATCCAGTGTTAGCAGGGACACTGCTTCAGGAAAGATATTGCTGCTGTTTTGTAAACAGCATTTTTATATCACATCAATATCACTTCTTGTTTTGGGGCTAAACTCTCAAAGAGTCGTCCTGTGCACATAACCCAACAATATACATGGAATATGAAATAAATCAAACTCCTCATGGCATAGTGTTTATTATATAGTGAGAAATATGAAAGTGAGTGTCTTACCGCTAGAGAGGCAGCCAGGTGAAGAAGAAAGGCCACTGATGTCCTCAGCATTCCCATAATCCCTGACCTGATGGACGGATGAATCAAACTGCAGCACTCTCTTGTCTCACTGTGTGTGGACAGTCTCTCTGACTTCCTTTCTCTTCTCCTTTGCCCTGTTTGATCACTTCACTGCTTTTTATCACTGTGATTCGCTGTGGCTGGAGATTATTAGACTGTACATGGACGCTTTATAAGATGGCTTCCATCTAGTGGTTGGAGTACATAGTCATCGTCTCCTGTTTGTACCCAATGCCTCATATTGAACCTACAAACTGCACACTCCCAATGAGCTTCAGTAAATTCCCTTATTTAATGTCAGGGTACAGACAGAATTAGTAAATTGAGATAATAAAAAAAAAGAGATTTTATTTTAATCCCCAGCAACCATAAAAACTCCATTACAACAATTATCTGTTTGTATGATGTTAAGTTGTCTTTTGGCTGTATCAGTGGTTCCCAACCTCAGGGTCGGGACCCCCCACAAAGGGTCAGCAAAGCTTCATGGGGGTCGTGAGACCTTGATTTTAATGTGTCCTAGAAAACTTAAAGAATATACACAGTAGGATGTATCTCAGCATCAGGTTCGCTTCTTTGACAGAACGATGGCAGGGATGGCAAGTGTCAGGGATAAGAAAACAATGAATTGGTCAAAAAGAAGCCTATTAAGTGTGTATGATTGTCAAGAATTATTTAAAAAACACACAATACAGAAAAAATTTCCCTAAACCAGAAATAATCCAAATTTATCCAAATCACTTTACACAAACTTCTTGCAGTTATTGAGTTCACGATATGGGTTCATTGTACAGTTTTACAGTTAACATATAAATAAATGCCGCAATAAATACACAAATACTGAAATAAATCCATAAATACACAATTTAGAGTATACATAAATGAGTAACTAAAATGTTAGTGACAACAAACATAACTTTTCAAAAATGCGACTCCGGTGGGACTCGAACCCACAACCTTTGAATCACTGCTCAAGTGTTTGACTAGAAGTCCAATGCGCTATCCATTGCGCCACGGAGCCACCTGTTGAACACTGACATGTAATAGATAATAAAGTTTAGTTTATAGCTCGTGTTATTACCGCTACCAGTATGTATTATTATCACAAATTTGGGAACGACTACTACAAAAGAGCGGACTGATACCCGTGCCGCCTCCTGGAGCCTCTCCCTCTTCGGGCCTGGCAATATAACGTTAAGCCTTTCTGCATGGGGGCCACTCCGGTATGATTACTATTGCACAGCAGGATTTAAGATAACGTTAACGTTAGCGGCGTTGCGGTGATTTTTATTGTAACGTTAGAAGGCGCTGCAGTAACGTTATGTTGGGTTATTATGCACCGCCAAAGGATTTTCTCCTCCTGGCTCTGTCTCTCTTACACTTGCCTCTTTGGTCGTAGATCAAGAACATCGGTCTTGTGATGTCTACTGGGGTTTTGCTGAAAAACAAAACGACTTATTTGATTATTTCTGTCCCTATAAGCTATATGGTAGCTCGTCATCCGGTTTGTCCCTGTACCTTCAAAGCATTGCGCACAAACCTGGGAAGACTTCCGGTTTGGCTGTGATTTCAAAATAAAAGAACGAACTTTTGCAAGCGGTTGGCTGTTTAACTTCCGAACTAAGGAATTATTAAGGTTTATCATATAACGTGAATTACCACTACACTACGACCACACATGACTTCCTCTTTCTTTTGAATGGCTACAGATAAATCTCAGTTAAAACACCTCTGCATGTCTACAACATGATTAGGACAGCTTATGGCAAGCAAGTCATTTATGGTAAGTTTTGTGAGAGATGTATGGCTATTAGTTTATTGTTAGTTAGTTAATCAGGTCAGCTTACCCCAGCAACACAAAATGACCGCTGTTTTACGTCCAATCAAGACGTCCCATTATGGTTAAAAAATCATTAACTTACCACGAAAGAGCCTATTTAGCTATTCTGCTCATGTTTATCTACAATATTGAACATTCAGCAGCTTTGTACATCATAAAAACGTAAAAAATAATAACTCAACAATCACCTGTGGTTTTAAACGGGACACGAACCCGCATCTCCTGGATGCAACGCAAAACTGCTGTCTCCTGTCAGTCGAGGTAATCCATCATGTGAGAGCCAATCGCGTTGCCTATTGCTATCAAGAGTGCTACCAAGAATTGACCAATCAAATGCCCCCCCACTGCCAAGAATGGCGAAAACCAATCACGCTTCGTTGCGCATACCAAGATTTGACCAATCACAATCGGGAACTCTACCAAGAATGGCCTGAGGCCCCGCCCATCCAGAGACCAACGTCAAGTGGTCTGTAATTTTGATCGGATTGACAGCTTTTGTTATATTTTCGGTAAATTCATTGTCATTTATTCATTCATTAATTCATTAATTGCCTTCATAACGTCTGGGCCTTTATAGTTCTTATAAGTTCATTATTGAAAAGATGTGGTTGTAAAAGAATCATATGTCAGTAACATAACTAACTCATTTTTAAACCAATGTCAGTAACATTAACTAAACAAGTCATGTACAATTTTCCGTTCTTAACTAATCAACTGTTTCTTTTAGTTTACTGATAACACTTAGATGTGTTAGTCTATTCGCTTTCACAGGCATTCATACAGTAAATAAAGACCACGGGTGGAAAACAGCAACTTGGGTTAATGTTTTATTGTGCACTGTCCCTGTTCAAATAAAAGAAATAATAATAATAAAAACATGGCTGCAATGTGATAACACTGACTTTACCTCATCATTCTTTACTTGCATCCCAAATTAGCTAAAAGTTGCCAGATATGTGTGGCTTAGTCAATGTGTCTGGGTTGTTTGCTGAGTATGCAAATGTAGCCCCTGTGTATAGGAATTATTTCACAAAGTTATGGTGTACAGGTTGTGGCATGAGCAAAGCAACAGTAGTGTACTTAACTGGTAACACCTAAACATCGCCTTCACTTCACCTCAACTGTCCCCAGTGCCTAAAGCCACTTTGCGCTCGTTACTGATTGGGAAAGGCAAATCCCAGCAGGCTATAGACAAGTCTGTGAAGAGGCTGTTTTCACAGCAGAAGTTTCGGCCGTGTGAGTATGCAACTAGAAAAAGGAATTTGTGTAACTCTGAGTTGTAGATGTTTTCATATTTTTAATGTATCATATATTGATGTCCTCCTTTTTCAGCTATTCCTGCTCGGTCTACTGCACATTGTTCATCAGACACAGTGCAGCAGGAACCCACTGACAGAGAACTTGTGCTAGCCGTTCAATGTGTGGAAGCAGACATTGCAAGTATGTATTTTTAAAAATATATTTACACACACTCTCATGCTTTCTGTCTCACACATACTCTCGTTCTCTCTCACTCCTCACATCTCTTTTCAATCATGAGTACGATTTGAATTTAGCATAAAAAATGAGTATATACTGTATATATTTTCTTTTGTATCCATTTTGTGGCTGTCTCAACTTCTTTATAATTAAGTTTAAAGTTGAAAAGCAATTTGTCTTTTTTATCCACAGTTTCTCATGGCATTTTCCCAAAAAGTACAAAATTATAACCAAGTATTTCAAGACAGGACCATAGAATATGACTCAATGTATCCTTTCTAAAAGAGAGTGTGGCTTTATACCTTCATTTATCATGCATTCTTTCATTCTCTCATGTCTGTATAATAGAGAGAAGATTTTGCCTTCCCGCTGGTTGGATCCCCGCCCTTCTAGAGGTTGACCAGCGCTGGATTGCCAAGGCTCTGTTCCAGTGGTCGCGCTTAAGTCAGCCAGAGCTGGACCATGCAAAGATGGACAGGATGTGTAGGTATCCACCTCAGCCATCACTGAACTCTAATGCCATACCAGCATTGGAGCAGTTTTTTGGACACCCCCTGTTCCTGCGGATGCCCCAGAAGCTTTGGCATGTGCAGCTTTTCTGTCTACATCCAGACTGTGGCAAATCAGAACTTACCTCTGCTGGACTGCATCAGAGGATAAGGCAGGTAGTGGGGGTCAGCAGCTCTTACTACTTGGCATCTGAATATCTTTCTTGTAAGAGCTGCAAAAGAAAGGTAATTAAGCGAGGCTTAGGAAATAGCAGCAGCCAGCTTCAAAGGCAGCTGGAGAGACACCCCCAGCTCGGCAGATGAGCAGCCTACAGCATCGGGCTCAGCCAGTCATGATGTAGGTTTATAGTTCTGATAATGTTTTAAACTTCTTTCAAGTTGCATAAAAACTGCTGTGCTGTAAAAACTTCAAATGGACATTAATACAATTTTGATTTGGATTATTTTGTTTTGATATGTTCATAAATAGATGAAACATAAACATTCTGAGTGAGTATTAAAAGATGGTACAGTATGTCTACACAATAAAAGTTCGTTTTTTTCTTTTAATTTGGCATACTCACAGATTGTTGTTGGCAGCACTAGATAAGAGATCATCCATAAGAAGTTTTCTTGATAATGCGATGTGCTATCGGACCAGAGTTTAGTTCAGTGTGAACATTGATTCTCAATGATGCTCTCTCTGTGTACATCCATGAGATAACACACTCAACCATATTTCTTAGAATTTTTGTTTGCACTTTTATCTGTAATGATCAAAATCTCGAGGATGAAATTTGGACTTCAGTCTGAGGGGAAACCGGTGTCAAATGTCCCCTCTGTTATATAGTAACTACACAGTTTACATACAGAAACCGATGACCACCCTGCCAGCAGATGTAACAAACTGTATTACATCCTGCTAAATTTAGTGTATGAGTGTAGTGTAAGAAATATAATCCAGATCAAGGTGTCGACCTTTTATTGTTTTTGTTTTTTTGTTATAAAAAAGAAAAGGTTGACATCGCATTACATATACTGATAGAGTATATGAATGTATGCGGTGTATTGGTTATACGTTGTAGATTACAGATGATAAAATGCCTTAATCTGAGATGTGGGAATATACAAGTTAATTTCTCTCTATAATAGTGTTCCTACTCACTACAAATGTTAAAATTACAGACTGGAACCAGCTGGACACATGATAACAAGGCAGTAAGTCTGGATACATGAAGGTGTGAGCAAATTATTATTTTGACTAATGTTTATTAAACCTTTAGGATTGCAGGCACCTGCAGAGCCGTGAGAAGTTGAGACTTAAATGCTGGAGAAAAAGTCATTATGACCTTTGGTGATGTTGGTGAGGCAATAAGATATAGGCTGCAGGAACAACTGCAGACTAGTGCAAACTAGACTCTAGTTAGTTACTCGAGCAAACAAACCGGTGCAAGAGAGTGAAGAGTGCAGCCCTGCTGTATTCACTGAGCGAGTAGGTTCAGTTTACGTGGACTCAGAGAGCAGTTAAAATGCTCTCAATCCAGCGTAGTTTATTTTTCAGGTGGACTTTAGTAGTAGTTTGGCATTTTGTTCTGCTGATGACTGAGACCTCCGGTCTAAAACCAGAAGACAAACATCTAAACCCGTCCACTGGTGAGTACCTTGGACTGGTGAGGCTCTTTGTAGCTTAGCAACAGGGTCAAAAATGCATAAATGCATGTAAATTCATGAATTAGCCTACACTGTATGTTGTAGATTTAAAAAATGAGTTGAAGCATTTACCTGACCAAGATCTACACATAGTTTCTTATAGTGCAGATTGACTCGATATAAAGTGTTTATGTAGGACTGAATAGGGCTGCACTGTTAATCAAAATATTATATTCAATATGGCCAAGTTCAGTATGTAAATCGCAAAACTGCAAATTGTTGATGAAGGTAAAATGTGTGACAAAATAGCATCATAATGAAGTACTGTAGTGCTGCAGAGATTAGCTTGCCTACAAATTGTTAATCATACTGATATCGCAAAATGTGTCAAAATAATTCCAATGTGATGTTTTTGCCTTATTGTGCAGCCCTACGACTGAATCCCTGTATCGTTGCATGAGACCAAAAACAAAGTTACGCAGGTTGTCTTTTAGCATGCAATGTTAATCTGTAGTTTTAAACTCTAAAAACCCCTCTGCAAAAACAATGTCTATTGATTGCCCAACGGTGGATCAGTCAATAGAAACATGTTGACACACACAGGAAGTTTTCAAAGACCGGTGCAGCCATGATGAACACCCATGAGACACTGTGGTGAATTTAAAGTGTCAGCAGAGATTGTGGAAATTGCATTGCTCACAATTAATAGCTAAACTCTAGATATATTTATATGTTGAATGTACTTAGAAATATAAATTTTATTGGCATAATTTGAATAAAATGCAGCAGCTTGTAATGAGAAGATCTCAGGTTCATATTTCTGAGTAAAGACTCTTGAATTTGGTGCATTGGAAGTAAATGAGAGCTTCACTGTCCTCCTTACTTGTTCAGTGCCCCATGATGCCCGGCTGGCCGAAGGAAACAGCCTCTGCTCCGGAAGGCTGGAGATGAAACATCAGGGAGAGTGGAGGGCTCTGAACACCAAAGAAAGAGAGGCCGCGGTGAAGTTCATGTATGCACGAGTGGCATGCAGACAGATGGGTTGTGGCTCTGTAGTTTCTATAGCACACAGGCCCAACAGCAGCGGCCCCAAACCAGCATGGGAGGTTAATTTCACCTGCAGAGGCACTGAGCAGACCCTGAAAGAGTGCAGCAGTGCTACAACAAAGAGAAGAGTGCAGAGGAAAGATTTTTCTGGCTACAGTCTGGAGGTCATCTGCTCAGGTAATTCAAGAAAAAACATGTAGTATTTGCAAATAACCGTTTTAGAGCTATGGTATATTTTCCCAAACCCATCACAGTCCCGTTTTATCTGTACTAATCTGCCCCGCCCCTTAAAAATCTGATTTTCATTTAAGGTTAATTTGATCAGAAATCCCACAGACATTGTATGTATGACCTTACAGGGGTCAAGAAGTGTCTGTATACACTGTTGGTCTGTGTGAGGCTTCACAAAGAATCTAGTCCTTGAGTTAGTTTAGCACTAACTTTAGTCTCTGTGCCCTGATAGCTCCCCTGGGAAGAGGTGCTAACAGCACGGCTGTGTGACAGTGACAAAACCCATCGTTTGCATAATAAAAGTTTTCATTTTAGTTGTCTTGGCAACACATCTTGTAGGTTGCACAATATTAAGCTATATATTTATATATTTATGTATTTGCTGTATCTCCCACCAGAATTTTTGCCCTTAAAATTTTCATCTGCCGGAGAACTTTCCCCTGATACTGTCCAAAGGCTGTCTATGCCGGCTAACCTAAACCTTGGTTGAACCGCAGTTTCTACCTTTCTACAGTACACAAACCAAACACTGGCTCTAGATCGGGCCTTTCAGGTTTTTTACTTGTGTTTTGGAAAGAATTAAAAAAAACGCACTAGTATCTCTCTGCTACTGCCGCCTGTCGTCAGCAAATGGAGAAATCTAAAGTTTGACAGGCCACCCCAGAGTGTGGGGGGTCAAAACTGCACCACACCACACACCAACAGGGGGCAGCACAGGCCAAGATTCACTGTAGATTTCTGTAGGGCTGCAACGATTCCTCGAGTACCTCGAGTACCTCGTACAAAAAATTATCGAGGAATACAATTAATTAATTAAATTTAAAACTCACGTTTCGCACTGCACGCTGTCTCACTGCACGCTGTCTCACTGTACGCTCTAACTACTGTAAACACAACACAGAGACAATGGCGACGAGCCAGCGAAATTCAAAGGTAGCGATATCAAACTGGAAGTACCGACACTACTTCTCGCTTACTGAAGTTAAAGACAAGAATGTTTATGTAACATGCACTGTGCCCAGGAAAAAAGACTTTCTCCACGTCCGCCTCAAACAACTCAAATCTTATGAAGCACCTCACAGCAACACATGCTAACACGCCACTTGTTGCTGCTGCTAACCCAACCTCAAGCCCAGATGCAGCTAGCCTGAGCTCCAGTGAAGGAGACGGAGCCACTCCGTTAAAAGGGTCAGTAACAGGTGGCGACTAGGGCCGAGCTGAACACACTGACTGCAAGATATGTTGTTGACAACATGCTACCTGTCCATTATTTCTATGCATATGGCCGGCTGCAATCTGTTGAGTTCAAATAAATAGCAAATGTTCTGAAATACTGTATATAGTGTTTTTATTCTTCATTCAGTTATTATAAACATATTTTACGTTATAGAAGATGTTATAGAATGTAATAGCGTTATAGAACATAAAAAATAACGTCAGTTACTTTGCTGAGTAACTAATTACTTTTACAATGTGGTAACTGGAAGAGACAGAAGATGTCGAAGGTGTGGGATCATTTTAAATTAAAAATTAAGGACAACATCGTGGTGTGTGTACATTTGGACATTTTTATTTTATTTTTGATACTTATAATAAATAAATGTACATTTTTCTTAATAGGAAACAAATTGTTTTATTATTAAGTGATCTGTCTTGTTTTCTATTGTATATTTAAAATTGGGCTTTGATTAAGCAAAAGTATGTTTTATCCGATTACTGGATTAATCGATGGAATATCCGATAGAATACTTGATTACCAAAATATTCGATAGCTGCAGCCCTAGATTTCTGTTTAAAGATGCAGCTCAATTCTCTCTGTGCCTGTTTTCAGAGTCCGTGAGGCTTCTTGGAGAATCGGATACTTGCATGGGGAGTGTGGAGGTGAAGTTAGATAATGGTTGGGCCTCAGTGTGTGAGGATGGCTTTGATTCTGAGGCTCAAAAGGTGGTCTGCAGGGAGCTCGGCTGTGGGCCTCCAGGGTCTTTTAGGGGGACATTTAGAAAAGGAGAAGGAACGGTTTTATCCAAACAGCTCCAGTGTCGAGGCAACGAGTCTCGTCTCGTGGACTGTGCCAGTTCGATCCACAGCAACTGCACACCAGTGTCTGGAATTTTATGCTCTTGTAAGTATATAAATATGATCTTTTTTAATGGGAAAACCTTAAAGCTGCTGTGGGTAACCTTTATTAAAAAAGTGAGAAAGATTGATGTTTTTATAGTTAATCATTGGATCACTGTTGTGCTTTTCCAGCCTGCAACAGGTTCAATAAAGGTTTGAAAGCTCTCATTAGAAGTTGTGCAACGACTGTCTTCTCTCTGTCCAGATCTTCATGAGTTGAGACTGGTGGAAGGAGAAAATCACTGTAAAGGCACACTGGTGGGAAAGGAGGACGGAGAGTGGAGGCCCATTTCTGATCCGTGGGCTGTCACGGAACTGAAACACTTTGTTGACGTTTGTCAGAAGGTGGGCTGTGCAGATGCCATCTCATATTCACAGATTTATCTTCCACAAAGTCAACCTGTGTGGTCACTGTCAACCAGCTGTCGTAGTTACTCTGGTTCCTCTTTCTGCGAAGCATGGAGCGAGGAATTTTCGACCGTAGCCATTAATATGACTTGTTCAGGTAATAGTCAATGTATTTGTCCATTCTTTTTGTCCATTCTGTTGTTAGTGATGACTTCCATAGTAAGGATTACAAAGCTCAAAGCAATACAAGGCAAACAGACATTACCTGGATATGACTCCAGTTCTTGCTATACTTTTTATTCTTTTCATGACACTTCCTTTTTTAGTTAGAGTATACAGTATACAGTCTATTAATGATCAAATTTACATTTGTTGTTGTGAAAAATTTACTTAATTAACTTAAATTATTAAGTTGAGCTTTTGTAAAATGTAATAATGTTTAGAATAGAAATAGAAAAATGAAAGGATGACCAATGAGGCTGCTCTCAAAGTTTCCAAAAAAGTCGAAGCACTCTCTCTTTTTCTCTTCCCACAGAGTCTGTGAGGCTGGCGAAGCTACACTCAATCCACAGATGCTCAGGCAAGGTCGAGGTGAAGTCTGGTCAATCATGGGTTCCAGTGTGTGATTCTTTCTTCAGCCCACAGACTGCCATAGTCACCTGTAGAGATCTCCAGTGTGGGTTTCCTTTGACTTACCATCGGTTGGACAACAGCGGCCATTTCCAAAATGCAGAACTCGCCTGGAATCCGGTCTTTATGTGTGAAGGCAAAGAGGAGCATCTCATGGATTGTCCCTCCACTAACATCAATACCACAGAACAACTACGACAATGTGGAAACACTCACCTGACCTGCACAGGTACTAGTCAAGGCTCTTTTCGCTTAACGGTTTTAGCTGTTAGAGGATTGAGGTGTTTAGTTACCAATTTGCCAAATACAACATTTTGATCATTTAAATGTTTATGCTTTAGATAATATCAAATGTGGGTAGTAATGTCCTTGCAACCCTCAGTGTCTGAGAACAGTCAGACACTTCTGAGAAAAACCTTCTGTTTCTTCATAAATTCATTATTTAAAAGACCAGTGTGAAGGATTTAGTGTCATCTAGTGGTGTAGTTTCCGATTGCAACTCCCTCGCTTCTCCCTTCCCTTTCAAGTGTGAAGGAGAAACTACGGTGGCCTCAAAATGCACAAAAATCTTGAATCACCCTCTCTAGAGCCAGTGTTTGGTTTGTCTGTTCTGGGCCACTGTAGGGACACAGCAGACTCAGTAGAAGAGGACCCGCTCCCTCTGTAGATAAAATCGTCTCATTCTAAGGTAACAAAAGAACAACTATTCTTACTATCAGGTCATTATACGCTAATTAAAATGAGTTTTTCCACTATTCCCAATCCAGAAGAGAAATCTCTCTCTCTCTCTCTCAGAGCCTGTAGTGTGTGCGGGGCGAGCTCTCTCTGCCTCTCTCTCACAAACATCTAGTGAAAGTAACATTACATCACATACAGGTGGAGAGAAACACAGATTCTAGAGTCCACACAGAGTTAACTAAATCATACAAACAGCAGTTAATGATTAAAGGTAATCACCAGCTGATTCTTTAGCTATAAATATGGGTGTGATTGGTCAGAGCATGCAATGGAAAATCTTTTTTTTGTATGGATCCAATATTCATGCATAGTGGCTAATTTGCAGATATTCTGAGCGGTCCTTCAACACTTTGTTTTCTTTCTTTGCAGAACGTCCACCCCAACCTTACATCACCGTGCATGTCCAGGAGGAAGAGGTTGTGTTAGATGATTTCCCACAGGTTCCTGAGAGCCATCGCTTTGCCATCTCTTGCAGCTTGTCTTCACCTTACAACATACTCTCCATCCGCCTAACCCATCTTACTAAGCCCCTGACTGAGCAAATCCAGTCAGCTGTCGATGGGAGAGCCATCTTCATGTTTCCTGCTGCAGAGGACGCCCACAAAGGGATCTATCAGTGCGACTACAACTATGATTTCAGTTCAGACATTTTCTCAAGGCCAAAGATTTTCACTCTCACTATAAAAGGTAACCCTGAGTTCATCAGTGCAGTAAGTTATGGCTTTTAACATCCTGTCTGCAGCTGTCCTGAATGTTGGTAATAAATCATTTACTAGCTACATGTAGTTTAATTTGTTAGACTTCACCTCACTGGACTTGTGAGATTTATCTTTATACATGATCAACAGCAGGCCAGCAGTCACATTCTGTACCTTTGAGTCCTCATTGGTGTTGATGGATTGTACACAGCGTGACTGGTGATTTAATTGCAGAGAACAATTATGCGAGGTTGGTGAACTGGAACAGCAGCTGTGCAGGTAGACTGGAGGTGGAGCATCAGAAGGAGTGGAGACCAGTGAGCCACCAGCACTCCTGGGGTCTGAAGGAGGCCGCTGTGCTGTGCAGACAGCTCAAGTGCGGCTCCGCTGTCTCAACCCGTAAAGAAGACAAGTCGACTGAACTTACGTGGCGCTTTTACTCAGATTGTAACGGCTCTGAACATGCGCTGATGGACTGCGGGGCGGTGAAGCAGTGGCTTTCCTCTTCCACTGTTGAAGTGGTCTGCTCAGGTAAAAATAGTGCAGGCGTTACTTTAACATGTAGCTGATTATATTTAGGCTCTAGACAACCTGCTCCCCTATGGAATTATGGTACTGGTGTCTGTTCACATTGACAGCTACCCTAACTTCAGATTACATTTAGTTGAATTTATATGTACCGTGTTGAGATTCAGCTACTATATACTGCTGCTATGTAGAATAGCTAAAAGGTGACTCATACTGCACATTCTTTAAAATCATTTGTACTATTAAAAGGCTTTCTGTAGTGGACTGACTTTATATATACAAATATATATGGGTGGGTACAAGCGGGGCTCACTTTCAGCCCAATGCAGGGTGCAATTACACCTTTATCTGTCATCATTGCGGGGCTGCCCTAGACTGTATCTTTATAAAATTATTTAAAGAGACCCAACAATTCCTACCATGAGCAAGCACTTGGCGACAGGGGCAAGGAAAAACTTCCTGTTAAGAGTAGAAACCTTGAGCAGACCCAGGCTCTTGGTGGGCAGAGAGGTAGAAGCTTGTGCACTCTTACATTCGTAAAGCTCCATCTCCGGTTTCTGTCTGTCTTTGTCTGAAGGCACCCTGCTTCGGCCAGAAATCACCGTTTTCTCGAGTAGTGTGCTCTATGACGACCAGCAGCAGGGTGTTCAGCTCTTCAAGGGCCACAGCTTCATCGTCAACTGCTCTGTGGAGCCACAATACCCCGGAGGTCACTTCAGCCTCATCTTCACAGGCCTCAACCAAACCCACAGCCGCACCCATCCAGCTGTCAATCACTCTGCCTTCTTCACCTATGCTGCTGCAGACCAGGCCCACCAAGGGAACTACAGCTGTGTTTATCACAACTTTGTTTTCAATGGTAACTTTTCTTCTGAGAGCCAGAGCCTCTCGCTCAGGGTCGATGGTAAGATAATGGAATTTTGTACAATTTGAAATGTAAATTGCACGGATACTGTACATACCATATATGATCAAATACAGCAGTATAATAATAGATAATTGTTAAATATGACTTCCTACTTGTTTAAACTTACCTGGGCTTTTCCTGCTAATCTCTGACTAGTCGAATTTCTAAATGTGATGCTGGACGATGGCGTGCTCAGAGAGGATGACAGCGAGACCTGTGCCGGCAAACTGTTGGTGAGGCCGAAGGAAGCGTGGAGACTGCTGAGTGCAGAGTCCACAGTCTGGGACCTGAAGCACGCTTCTATTGTGTGTAGACAACTGGGCTGTGGTTCCGCCATTTCAACCAGTGAGATAGATCTTCCTGTAAAGGAAACCGTGGCGCGTTTTTTCTCTGACTGTGATGGATCTGAGTCTGCACTGCTGGACTGTGGCGCTGTAAAGGAGTGGTTCTCCTCCTCTGCTGTTGAGGTGGTCTGCACAGGCGAGACATTAACAAGTCCTAGGTCTTAGTGAACAAGGCGGACAAACAGTTATTCATACCAGTGTCCTCTGGAAACCTAATGCCTGTTAAATTACTGCTTTACTACATCCCAAAATCTGAATTATTATGGGTGCAGTTGGAAATCTGGGTATTATCATTAATTCTGACCTTAATGTCCAGAACCACATCACCAACACAACAAAAACGGCCTTTTATCATCTCAAAATATATCCAACAGTAAGAGGCTTATAGTCTCAGACACAGAAAAACTAAATTGTACTTTTTTTTACTTTATAAAGTCCTACATGGCCTTGCTCCAGAGTACATCTCTGCTCATCCAGTATGAACCTCACAGAGCTCTAACTGACAGAGGTTAACTGGTTTGGACCTTCTAGTTGTCCATCTGAAGAGGCGTTTGGTTTTTATTGTCCTACCTCCTGGAATACTTTCCTAGAGAGGTGCTTTAACATTGACACTGTTTGAAAGCAGAATGAAATCATTCCTCTTTCTACTTTCACCTTCACTGCAAATATTAAAGAACTCTTTGTGCTGCGTCTCTTCAAGGCCATCAGGGGGCAGCAGCAGGCAAGAACTGAGGACATGAAGGTGGAAGTAAAACCTTGAATGGTCTTCATCCTGGAGACATACTCACTTACAACCTCCATTATAATAGTGTTGTATTAGAATCAAATGTATTGATTAACTGCAGATGCTGGAATAAAACAGTGGATAAGAGGTGATAACTAGTAAGGTAATTGGACAGCTGTACTGTCTTCATTGTTTTTATTGGTCTCACTGCATTTGTGTTCCTCAAATAAACAAACAACCTCAGTGGAGTGCTCATATTCTTGATCTTCTGTGGTGGTAGTTATAGAAAACATATCAGCCCCATTTCTTCAGTAACGTACCCTTTGCAACAAATAGAGCACTCAGCATTAACAGCTGCCACGCTTTAATATCTGCCTGATGGAGATTTTCCTTTTAATTGTAGGCTAGTGAATTCAACCCCTGTACATCACCTCAACTTCCTTACTCAGTGCCTCTATGGCCCCTCATTCTCAGGTCCCATATTGTCGGGAATCTTAAATATTTAATCTATTATTTATTGATCTCTACTGATGATGCCAGTGGGAAGTTATTTTATCAGTATTTACACATCAAAGTCTGTTTGCAGGTCTTGCATTGTGGGGAAAACATTGTTAAAGGCCCCAGAGGGAACTGTGAAATCTGATAAAGTGATGTCATTTGAGTGTAAATGAACAAAAGTCTGCGTGGAGTTCTGAGTGAGTTCAGATCTTCTGAAGCCCGTTGGATGCTAAAGGATACATTAGATGCTACTAGCATAACAAACCCAAATGCATAGAATGAAAAGGACAACATCTCATTGACGTCCATTGAGTCTGACAATGTTATAGGACTGCAATGCTAAATGGGTAGAGTACTCTTAATACGGTTGTCGAGGATGTGTGGAAAGAGGGGCAAGAAAAGTGCAGTCCACGTTGTTATATAATAGAAATACTTTTTAATTTGAAGGTTCATCACAGGCATAATCGTAAACAAGATATTTAAAAATGCAGATTTCATTATCATTCAGACTGTCCGTCTCATGCACTCTCGTACACACACACACACACACACACACACACACACACACACACACACACACGAGACTAAACACAAAGAAAAACTAAAGTAACTATAGAGATTCTGCTGGATTAAAATCATCCACCATGGATTCACCTCAACAGCACGCACACACACACACCCACACACACTCTTCTGACACGCACAAAAATAAAGGTCTGCATCGAGTGGGGAGGGGGTCGTGTTGATGTCTGTTGTAACTTCTACCTGGACAAAGCAGAGATCCTGAGAAAGGAAAACAACAGTTTTTATGTTCACACTACTGTGAATGAAAGAACACGTTCAGTCAGGCAGCGTCTGATAGATCTTAGTTTTTACTCTGACATGATCTGTATTTAACCGTAATATCTAACTGGGGATGCAGCTGGTTCTCTTTGTGCCTGCTTGTCCAACCAAAGCAACACAAATGTAACATGCCACTGTGTGTGTGTGTGTGTGTGTGTGTGTGTGTGTGTGTTGATGCAACTCACTGTAGCTTGTCCTGCAACAGCTCTAGCCTCTGCCGATCAACGTAGCGTGACAGGAGGGAGAGCAGGTTGGGAGGGGTGAAGAGGGGAGGAGAGAGGGATGAGGAGGGAACGCTGAGCAACTCCCTTGTTACTGAAAACACCAGTTCAGTCCTGGGTGGGTGGGGGGGGATAATGGGTAACAGCAGGAGGTGAGAAAAGCAAAGAGACACATTTAAAGAAGTGAACGACGAGAAGGAACACAATAAATCACTCCGGGCAGCGAACTGTCTCAGGGATGTGATCTCATGACACGAGAAAGCAGTTGACGTTGCGGCTTACCATCGATTGTCGTCCATGAGTTGACAGTTGGGGTCGGAGCTTTGCATCCTCTCTCCTTCACTCAGGATCAGATACAGCAGTGTCACACCAAACTAGACAGACAAACAGAGAGGTGTGTGAAATGTGTATGTGTTTAGTTGGACTTTGGAGGTATATGGCGGACCCTGTTCATTTCCATCTACAATTTTCTTATTGTCAACAACTCCCATTAAAGGCCGTAACCAACATGTGTTAGTCTGTGTCTTTTAGGAGGCTCAATAATGTCAAATGACTTTCTTTACAGCGGGACACTGACAGTCAAACCTTACTTAAAGTAGTGTATTTTGTGTACACCAGGCTTTGGATACACGTAAATACACAATCTTTTAATCTTACCATTTGGCTACACTATTGCCTCCAGGCCCACTAGATGGCGCTCTGAGGCCCACCAGTGGGCTGCACTGATACATTCACTGTTGATCAGTCTGACCAGAGGATCATCTTTGCTCTAAAGTTAATGAGTGACTGCATGTTTTGTGTCAGTGTGCCATTTGTGTGTGTGTGTGTGTGTGTGTGTGTGTATATGTGTGTGTGTGTGTGTGTGTTTGTGTGTGTGTACCTTGTTGTGCAGTACTGTGGCCAGTTGGCCCTCGTTGCCCTGAAGCTCCTGGAGCAAGTCTGTGAGGGCGGAGCTCGACAACGACTGGATCACTGCAGAAACCGGCTCAACTAACCAGCACAGCACCTGAACAAGAGGGCGGGGACAGAGGATGGTCACAGGTAACATTTCATGGTTTATCCCACTGGGACTGTTCCATTGTGCAGAAGAAATTCTTATTAGATGGGGAACTGCAAAACATTGAATGTCCTTAGACTGTAAGAAACTGCTAACCTCTGCTAACATGAACATTAAGAGAAAAAAAGCAGAGCAGAGGCTTTTTTCCCCCAGGAACTGCATATATTTAATTAGACTGTTCAGTACCAATTAAACTGATCATAAGAGAAGGAGCATCAGGATACCACTTCTGCTTCACATTTACAGTTATGGAGGAAAAACCTCCAGTCTCAGCAGAGGCAATAATGGTGTCCATTGCTTTCCATTTGTGCCTCTTTGCTCGCGACTGTTCTCCCCAGAGGAGGATGTCAGAGGTAGAAGTTTAAAAAAAAAAAAACACTACCTGACTAACACTTAATATTGAAATATGAAGCGCCAGGGAATAAGAATGTGACTGATAACACAAATAAAAAAAGAACTGGCAGAAGAACGCATTAAAACAGCTAAATCTAATCTATAATTAGTTAGACAGGTACAGGATGTTTTTCCAGGCACAGGATGATATTTTAGGACTACTAAAAACAACTGCGACTGATGACGAAAAACATACACAAAGCAGGAATGTTTTTATGATTCAGATTCTACACACTTCTGGTATTTTTAGTAGTTGGTGCGGTCATTTCTTTTCACTGGAAGTTTGCTTAATCTTCAGGACTACAAATGCAACACTATCAATATAGACAAGTGTTTCCACAACAACCAGGTTGTTTGTTTGTCCATCAGCTGACCCGTCATAAACACATTACTATTGACTAGAACTCATTAGATCTGCCCCAGTAACTGAATTCATTCCTACAAGTAACCAGTATCACGTTCAGTTTCTCACGTTTATAACAAACCACATTTCCTGAAAATGGGTTGAGAATTTAGCCATTCACAGTCGATTCTGTAGTGAAGTCTGAATCTCTCAGTATTGCTAACTTGCAGATGTTGACCTCTGCAATATGGCGACCGAGCAGATGTATATCAGCAGCATTCGGCAGCAGCCAATGGCAACAGTACCTCTACCTCACCAGCAGATGTCAGTCATGTTTATTTATTGTAGAGCCAAACACAGACACTGTGTTGCAGATGCCTACTGTTCCTATATAGCAGGACTAACTGGATATCTGTGGTTGGTTACCTGGTCCTGCTTGTCCTTCTTGGCCAGGGCGGGAAGGTTGCGCGCAATCGCCATGACAACGGCGGCGGCCTGGGGTGATGGCAGGAGGGGGAGGAGCCTGGAGATCAGCCGCTTGCCCTTCCTCACTGACATGATCATCACACACTGCTCATCGCTCACTCTTATAGAGAGGAAGAGAAAAAGAATGAGTGTGTGTAGATGGGCATATCTCCTCTCATTATCCCTTACACTGCTGTCCCATGTGTGGCTCTGTTGTACAGAGTGTGAGTGGGATAAGAATCAGGATTGCCAAGTGCAGCTCTTGCAGTTCAGGTAATTTCTATTCCCTCCCTCCTACCTGTCGTCCCACTCCTTCTCCCGCAGAGAGTTGCACAGCTGCACCGTGTTGGTTTTATGCTGCTCCAGCAGAGCCTCCCTGTCCTCCTCTGGCGTCTGGACAAAACGTTTCTCAAAGTCTTGAACCTCCAGCAGCAAACTGTACATCTGGAGGACAGACATATGCATTTAGGATCCAGAAGTTTTTCCTGCTGTTTTTTCATTAAAACGTGTGCTGCAGTCGTCCTCATCCTACCTTCTCCACGGTGTAGAGGATCTGTCGCCTCTTATTCCACACCTGCTTCTCTCTTTTCTCCTGGAGACAGACATACAGTCAGGAAATAAGACCAGCAGGACTTCAAAACCGGATCAAATTATAAAACGGGTACAGAATTATATATTCAAGAGCAAAATAGGAATGTTATCGTGCTCTGACTACAACTACAGCTGTTTTCAAAAGCATCTCTTTTAGATAATAGTGGACACCAAGGTGGATATTTTCAAAAACATTTGTCTACGATCTTGTCGCCAAGTGCTAAAGTGACATAGTGTGAACTCGGTTTAATTGGTATGAACAATAACAATTGTTGTTAACAGAATGGCTCGCTCTTTTTTGGTTTTATACTGTCAATAGGTGTGAGTGGTACCTGGTACATTTTGGGTACTTCACTGTGTTCACTGCCTGGTTAGTTAATGTAAGCCTCTTACTTTGTCTTTTAGGAAACAACCACAGCTTTGCACATAAAGAGAACATTGTGTATACAGCTTTAGTAGGAAAATAAACAATGAAACATGCAAACAGACCTCGTCATCCGTGCGACTTGTCACTACAGCATCAATCATCTTGCGTGGGTTGTTGACGCTGGAGACCGTCAGCTTACCCAGAGAGCCTGCAAACTGAACTGTTGACAAACACATTTCAACGTTTAACAGAGTAGTAGTTAGATATTGTACACTCTCGTTTGTGTGTGTTACCACATACTATTGAGTGCAGAGAATATTCTGGTGTGCTCTGTTGTTGTTTACCTGGTCTGTAGGTGTGTTCAACCTTGGCAACCTGCGGAGTGATCAACTTGGTGGTGTGTTCCTTCTTGCTGCTGTCTCTCTCCCTCTCCTGACGTTTCTCCATCTTCTCATAGTAGTTCTA